CCGTCGTAGAAAGAAACTTCTTCCACTCGAGGCGTTCCTGGGATTCGTACGAATGAAACTCGATCTCCGCATTGATCATCATCGTCGTCAACCATGTCTCTCATGATCTGTGCCCTCAATCTCGCTTTGTGCTTGGCGAATTCCAAGCTCACGGCGCGGTCCTCATCATTGATAAACGCTTCCATGTCGACGTACTTCACCTTCCGCTCTTTGTCTTTCTTCGATCTTCTAGGACACGAAGAAATGAACTTCACGTCATCGGCGAACGTCACATTACGCTTTATCTCTTTTCGGGTCGACGTAGTCGTTCCCGAGGATTCGTCATCTGTTGAACAATCCGAATCAGCGTCGCTGTCAACGGATGGACAATCTGACTCCTCCTCATCTTGTCTTGAAGATCGCTTCCATATAGCCGGAGCTGATGGATTCCACCTTCGACACAATCTGATGGCGGGTGCCGCAGGGAGTGCCTTGGCCTTGGCATTCGGCTTCGCTGGAGCTGCCTTCGCTTCGGATTTAGCTTTAGCTTTTGCCTTTGGTTCCGGAGCTGGGGTAGCTGCTGCCTCATGCTTGAAAGGACAATTCTCTCTTGAGCACGAGCCTGTGTTCTTGAACGAGTAGCATATCCTGTTTCCTCCTCCTCCAGATGGACTTGGAGTTCTCGTCCTCGGCGTGAAGGGTCGCTCTGGAGTCTTCTTCGAGTGACTGAATGGACACTTATCACCATTTCGACACCCTGCATCTGTGAAATGGAACTTGCAGCGGATTTGCTTCTTGCTTTTGTCACCTCTGTTGTCCGCTGACTCACTCCTCGTCTTCTTCTTGGGCTTTGGCTTGGTCTTCGCATGACTCTTCGCTTTGCTTTGAGGTAGTACAGGTGTTGCTTTATCCGGCTTGGTCGGCGAAGCCTTGACCTTTGCGGATGGAGCTGCGTTAGGCGTTGGTTTCTCGGGTACCTTGGCCGGTGCAGCAAGCAAATCCTTGCCCTCAAGCATCTGGCGCAAGCCAATTTGGGTCTGAGTGAGATTTGACTGTTCTCGTCTCCGCATGATAGTACGGTCAATGATCTTCATCAGGTTGTCGTACGATCGGTCTTCATGATTGTAGGGCAAGTGTTCGTAATGCATGCCCAACTCCATCTTCATTGCGGGCGAGTCCTTGATCTTGCTGTACAAGCAATCACGGAGAGCTGTTTTGGATGGAATGTCCTCTGGTCTCATCCGTCCCAGAACTTCCAACCACGTCTGCTTGAACGTATGAAGCTTGTTGTCGCCTTGGTACTGGAGCTTCACCAAATACTCAAGAGTGATGATCATGTCGAGACGATCGTGCGTTCGAAAACTTTCATACATCATCGCAATGATTTGTCGTCCTTTGATGATCTTCCCGTCGGGCCTGCTGATGTAATCGTTAGCCTTCCGGTTCACCTCAAGGTACAGGTCAGCTGATTTGTCACCACCGGCACGTAGCATTGCGACCATGGCGATCCCCAATTTGACGTCTATGCTCTTGAACTTCTTGTGTCCTGAATCATTCAATGCTTCGACATCAGGGAATGGGTTGAACGCTGGTGCCAGCCATAACATCCAGTCCTCATGATGTGGGTCGGCTGATGCTCCTAAGACATTGGCCGTGCACACGGATCGCCAGTTGTTGAGATGAGTGAGAGTAGGCCATGGAGGAACGGTCACTTTGTCGGCTTCCCTCCTGGAAATTCTCACCTCTGTGACTTCAGGATCCGCGTCTCCATCAGGATCACGCGCATGCGAGCCAGGATCCGATTCAGGTTTGCCTCCACCGCTTTTCTTCTTATCATCATCATCGTCAGGCGGGTCAGGAGGGTCATACCCCGTGCCGGTTCCTTCATCGTGCTCTCCATCTTCGTTCTCGTCGCCAGCTTCGTCACCGTCATCGTCTCCATTATCCTCCTGAATCGTTTCAGCGAATAACTTCCACTCATCACGATCAGCTCTGAGACGTTGTTCGGCTTTCTGGGCCTTGAGTACTTCGCTTCGCAGATCGGCAATCTTCTCCTCGTACCGTTCCGCGACCTCTTTCTCGATCTGACGTCTCCTTGCTTCATGAATGGAATCGTCATAGGCAATAGGGGGACCGATGAGGTCGTTGCCCTTCGTAGATGCGGTGATACCGTCGACACCAACAGGTCTTGAGGAGCTGGCAGATGCTGTGGACTTCGATCCCAACATCCCGCGATCCTCCAAGAGTTCGCGTAGCTGTCGATCACGCACGGCTGCCGCATCACTTTTCCCATGAAATCCGCTTGGTATGCCGAACAAAGTGGCTGCACTAGGCGTGGAACGCGCAAGTGCTGGGCTGCTAATACCTGGCACGTAGTGCTCGGGCATTGCATCCGCCACGATTGGCATTGAACTGCGGCCAGTGAAGAAGTTTCCACCGGTGAATGGAATTCCATCCATCACAAGGTTCTTGTCCTTGTCCGATTCCGAGAATGCGAACTTCTCTTTGGCGACTGGACTAACTTGACTTGGGGACCGTATTTCAGGGGATCGTACCTCACCTCCTACGGAAAATGCAGGCACTACTTCCTTTCCTACGTGCTCCCAGCCAGACTCAGTAGTCCTCGAAGACATGGGCATGCTTGAAGGCCGTGTCGCTCCTCCGTAATTGGAGTTTCGCGCTGCCTCCAATTCGCTGCGTGTCCTCGCTTGAAGATCTTCTTGTGCTTTGAGCGTTTTCCTGAGTTCACTCAGCTCGTCGTGCAAGGTAGGCAATGATCGCCTTGCATGATCTTCATTCTGATGAAGTCGTCCTCTGCTTCTTGCATCCTCTTCACAGCCATTTTGCGGTACTCTTCCTCTTCACCAAGACGTTCGCGAAGCCGAAATCGTTCTTGTTCAATGGCTGCGCTGTTTCCAGCTAGCCCTTGGATCTCGTTCACAGCCCGCAACTCCTGGTTCTTGACCAAGTGGAATCGTTCCTGCATTGCTTGTAAGGCTTGTTCCGAACTTGCTGTGTTTGACCGGAGGACCAAGTTCTCTCTGGCATGTTCATGAAGTTCATGAGTCAGACGCTCATACTCACGGGCCATAAGCTCACCATCGCCTTGCGCTCTTGCCTCCAACTGCACGAAGTTGGTGGCTGCTTCTGTGCGAAACACATGTAGCTGCTGAGCCAATTCCTCGGCAACGGCGTGTGCCTGACGTTGTTGAGCAGAGTTCTGTTCATCCATGCGAAACAAAGCTGTTTCATAGTCTCGCTTCATCTCCTGATTGACATTGTTGATGTGCCTCATGGCTAAGCATGCATGGTCACGTTGTCGTTCCAATTCTTCAATGCGAATTCCAGATCCTTCATCTTCTTGTTGCATCTCCTTGATCTTGTCCATCAGGGTCTGAACAACTCCTTCGTATTCTTGCATCTGACTGCGATAGTACATCTGCTGCGCAAGGTTAGATGCTTCGAGCTGTTGCGAAATCGTCAGTTCCTGATAGGCATTCGGACCATCGGCTATGGCTGGCGTGGTCACCGATGATGCATCACCACGTGCTGGGATAGTGTCCAGAGTCATATCCAGATCGTCAGCATCACGTGGTTGATTGGTAACCATCCGATTCCAAGTCATGGATTTGTCACGCCCACGAGTAGCCGAAGTCCTCGATCGTGCTGAAGAGCTTCTCGAAGATGATGGTCTTGACTTCTTTTCCAAGGTCTTCACTCCTTTGTCCTTGGCCCTGGACGTAGTCCGAGGTGCCTGAAAACCAGACGCTTCGGCCCGTCGTTCTGAAGCCTTGCCCGTCCTCGAACCTGTGGATGTCGGACGCGAAGGCGTAGATGCTCTTGGTAGACTCTTTGCTTTCCCCTTGGGAACTGCCTTTGCAATGGCAAGCGCAGAAGATTGACCTTTGTCATCTTCCGTGGAGCTATCAACGGATTGCACCACTGTGTCATCAGCTGTTGACTCACCAACGGCTGGCGCTGCCACATCGGCACCGAAAGTCATTGTCGTATCTTGGCTTGATCCTGAGTTCATTGTGGTCGTAGTAGATCAAGTAGTCGTTGCTGTAGAAAGGCAGAGCCGCGTACGGCTGATAACCTGCGTGGGGGATTGATCTCGACTTGGTTGCTGCTCTCCCCACCAGAGCTGTAATGAATGTAGGTGTGGCTGGCTTGCACTCTCCACAGACTGGACCCTGTCTCTCCCTCTTACTTCCACACGTGCAATCCTATGCAGGCAGAACCGGCGGCCGTTCCTTTTGCACTCACTGCCGGCGGCGGTTCGTCTGTGCAACGGGATAGCTCTGATTGCTCAGGATAGAAGACACATATAGCACTTAGCTATGGGCATTGACTTGAGCCAAACGTTGCGTTGGCGGTCACATAGAAAGGTAAAGATGAGGGATGCGTAGCATGCCCCCTTAGAGTCGAGGGACGCGTAGCGTGCCCCCTTCTCTTGCACTTTACACGGTCTTGCTCACAGCTCTTATAGTGACACCTTAGAACTTGACAAGGCATCGCAGTCCGTTCGCAATAATAGTAGTCGTAACAGTGATAATTACAGCAACTGTTGTGGCAGTTCGTACCAGTCAGTAGCAGTGAGTAGTACTCAGTGGTAGTTAGTGGTAGTTAGTGGTAGTCAGTGGTAGTTAGTGGTAGTTAGTAGTAGAAAGTAGTGTTTAGCAGTAGTTTTTACTAGTTAGAAGAATTTTAGAAGTAGTTAGCAGTAGTTAGTAGTAGCAGTACTTAGTAGTAGCTAGTAGTTAGTGGTAGCAGTAGTAGCAGTAGCAGTAGCAGCAGTAGTAGTAGTAGTAGTAGTGGTGGTAGTAGTGGTAGTAGTAGTGGTAGTGGTAGTGGTCGTAGTGGTAGTGGTAGTAGTAGCAGGAGCAGCAGGAGCAGGAGCAGGGGCAGGAGCAGGAGCAGTAGCAGTACAGTAGCACTAGCAGCAGCAGTGAAGATTGTATAAGGCTCCAAATCCTGCACCTTGTCCTAGAAAAGGCCCCAAAGCAAAAGCCCCTCCAGTCCTTCAGCAGGAAGTGGCCGAGCCTCGGAATGCACAGGACGTTTTGCTCAGATCCATGTCACAAGCTCTGACGGTGAGCGTGCTCTGGATAGAGGCAGAGAGGGAGGCAGAGTGAGAGGGAGGCAGAGCGAGAGGGAGGGAGAGAGAGAGAGAGAGAGAGAGACAGAGAGAGAGAGAGAGAGAGAGAGAGAGAGAGAGAGACAGAGAGAGAGAGAGAGCCAGACAGAGAGAGACAGAGAGAGACAGAGGGAGGGACACGGCGAGCCCGAACTTGAGCAAGCGAGCAACGAGACAAGAAGTGGACAGCCTAGCTGATCTGCAGATATCAGATTTCAGTTGATAGCTTTGGCTGACATTACCTTGACGTCATTCCGCTCGCATTAGTCACCGAGAGCATTACATACATTGCATCATGCAAAGAGTTGCATAAGGAAAGCCTGACAAGATCCACCCGAGACGCTGCAGGCCCGCGGGGCCCGCTCCCACGATGCACAGCGAGTGCCTTGTTGGAGGCTTCGGGCTTCGAATGTCTTCGAATAATCTTCAATACTTCAATATCTTCAATATGATGCATGCTCGCTTACCAAACCAAGGATAAATTCACCAGACAAATACATCTTATCTCAACCAGTCGAATGATCTCTCTCTGTTGTATCTACCTACCCTGCTGTGAATAGAGAAAACGTGCTACCCGTGGGATGTACCGTGCTCCAGGTTCAGGGCTAAAGTTCCGGGAACGGTACTCTCGGGCCTGCGCATTCCTGACCTGCTCTTCGGCCACCTACTGCCCGCTCGAAATAGTGCCCTGTTCTTCTTCATCTCATGCATATAGATTCAAAAGAGATGCGGGGCTGGATACTATCCATAAAAACTACTCCAGTTATTTCAATTTGAGAAGGCGGCGCAGTGCGATATCCATACCCGAACAATTATTAAGGCGAGTGGCAATAGCAAACTTTACGACTTGGATGCATGTACTTCAGCTTCTGCCTTTCTTGCATCTGACTTCGTCAATGTCTACTGCGGGCTCGGACGTTCCTTTCTTCCGATTTGTTTTCGATTGAGGGGAAGCTAGCGGGGCGAACCCTTCCCGCTTATGTTTTTGTCGGTGCCTCGCGGTGGAACGAAATCTGCAAGCGGCAAATCTTTGAATGCCGCACAGGTCTGCTCGGTCTGCTCGGACTCAGTGTCCCCTATGTCTTGGGTTCGGAGCTCTACCCGACCGCATTCAGTCACAAAGACAAATCCACTGGCCACATCTCTCCCTGCTGCCACTCTTTTGCAGTTTCACTGGCTGCTCTCCTGCTCTCACACGCCCTGACTCGAATCACTTTGCTGATCCTGATCTGCAGAACAAGCTGCCGAGACATCACGAGCGACGTCGGTGACGAGAGCGCATCCATCCAACATGTGCTTGTCACACTCTTGGAATGCTTCGGGAACGCGACACCGAACACCACCGAGACAGTAGAGCTTCTTGACTCCACTGAGCCCCACTGATGGTGCTGACATTAGACTCAGGGCCCAAGGACGTTGAGAGGCTCGTGACCCACAATGCAGGGTAGTTCCCAAATAGAGAGCTCGGGCTGCGGTTCCACAAACATTCACATACCGATTCTGCTTCCCACCTGTCCTGCGTTGCCCCACAGTACCCTTAATGGCTCGAGCACTGTGCCCCCCAGAAGTCGGAACCTTGAATTCATCAATCCCGAGAAACGGATGCTGAAACAGATGCCTTTCCATACATGTTTCTGTTTATGTATATATATATATATATACATATTGTATCTATACAGACATATACATTTCCATATCCATATACAGAAACATACACATGTACATACACATACACATACAGATGGACATAGACATAGGCATACAGATCCAAATACATACATATACACATATGTATATACCTTTCTACATATATACATATATCAAAAGATATAGCTCTCAGGCTTGCCGCCGACCCCTCCAAGCTCGGGTCGCTCAACTCCTGCGGCCCCAGGAAATCCAGGTGCATGCCCACCTTCGGCGGCAAAAGGTAATAATCCTGGTTTGTGCACCCCTGGCTTCGCGCGCAGGGTTGCAGATTCTTGGCGCGAGGATTCTGGCATAGTCACCCTTGTCCGCATCTTTGACGCAGCCACTCATCAGAAAGCAGCAAATCGGAAACGGTGAAAAATATCGACCTAGTCAACTCCATCGCAGAGGGCTTCACCGGATGTGCAGCACTGCATTGGCAAGACATCGGCGTGCTGACATAATTTGCGGTTTGCAGCATCAAGGGAAGGGGCATGATTTGAGAACTGCTACTTTCAGAGCACGTCAGTCAACTGTTGTCCGGGTTGCATGCTGGAGCATCAGTTATAGCCCCAAACTCCTTGTACCTAGGACCTAGGAAGGCTCGACTCGCTTCCTAAACATAGACTCAGATCCCCCAGGCGAGTCATAAGGTTGCCCTGTTTGGGCGATGGCTTCAGCCCCCAAGCCTTGCCGCTGAAAGATGCAGAAGCCCCGGTCCCACGATGCCTTTCGCCAGACTTTCCGAAGAATCGCTCCAGCCTCAGCCGGCTGCGTCCGAGGCTCTGGACAAACTGGAACCAACAGCTAAAGAAAGTTAGAATGGAGACAACTACTTCATCTGATACCGACCGTACATCGGCAGCCTCTCTGTGACAATCTCGCCTGCTGCAAAGCGAAAGGGCTGCCGGAAGCCTCGCGTCAGGTGCAAGGAGCGAAAACGATCAAAATATGCAGGAACAGCAGCCGCTGTTGAGCACGACAACAGTGCTAAAGAGGATTTCGAGCAGGGAAGGGACTGAAAACTCTGCATTGGACGGGCCACTCAGAGCTACTTAGGCCCTCTGCTGGAACTACCAACAAAACATGAACAAACTGTGAGTACACCTGCGGTACAAGCTAGCCTTGAGGGGTGTTATGCAGCCAGTGAGGGTTTGGGAGTCAGGATTTCTTAGAGACGCAGGGATTTACCATTCTAGAGTTTACGAGTTTCGGATGTACTGTAACTATATAACTCTAGCAGCTATAGCCTAGCAACGCAAGTTTCGGATCAAAGGCCCTTACCTTGGGATTGGCTCTCGTGGAGTCAGTTGCGGTCAAGAAGTCGGAGTGGATTCGAAGCGAAGGCTTCAGGGCAAAAGGGATTCGGGACAAAACACCCGGTGGTTTAGGGTTCAGGGCCGTTTAGGGTTCAGGGGATGGGCACACCAGAAACGTCTCCTCAGCTCTCGGTTTGCGCGAAGATCCGCTGAGTTGAAGAGCTGCAGGCCTGGAGAATCTGTAAGAAGATTCTGAAACCAAGGCCTCAGACCCTGGGCCCTAGGCCCTCACTTCCAAACCTCGAAGCCCCAACCTCAACCCTAAACCCTGACTAAGCCCCAAACCCGAAACTAAACCCCTAAACCCTAAACTAAACCCCTAAACCCTAAACTATACCCCCAAACCCTAAACTAAACCCCTAGAACCCCAAAGGGCCGCCAAGAGGACCCACCAGGGACCCACCCCACCCCTTCCTGCAGCGCCGCAACGCCCCGTGCCACGGAGGCCAGCCTGGCACTTCCCCCAAAGCTTTCGGGGCGGATTGGGGTTTAGGGTTTAGGGTTTGCCGTAGAATGGTGCAGAAGCGGAAATAGCTTGCGACAGTGTATTTTCGAGTGCGTCGTAATATGACGATTGGCTGTTGGAGCCTGATGGTGGATGGCTCTTTCCTTTCACTCTCCCACCCCACACCGTCTAAGGCGGCCAAAAGCCACCCAAACCTATCGCCCACCCACGGAGGTGGGCGACCTAGGCCTAGAGTTTAGGGTTTAGGGGTTTCGGTCAACTAAGCACACCTGCGGCCTCGATTGAAGCTGAAACCTCTACCCACTCTACCCCGATCGTGGCATCTAGGCATCAGCGCCTTGCGCTCACGTCCGGACACACTTTGCATCCGAGAGACCGCAGCAAGGATTGACGACACATCACTCTCAAGCCCTGCCATCAGACCGGACGAAGAAGTCAACCCAGCCAGAACGCGGAAGTTCAGATCGATGCAGCCGGAGGCAGCATAGCTCAACGGATCTCAACGGCACATCCCTGACTTCCATTATATGTTAGAGTTCCGGTTGAAGAGTGCACATTTCCCCATCGAGATGCCCAAGAGACTCAAAGGCGTGCCGGGATATCTGCCGCGGGGTGAGATCCCGTGCCCCTCGCTCGATCACTCGTGCACCCTGCGCCACCTCAGAGTTCGGAGCGCCGCAAAAGTACACGGAAGAGCTTCCCCCGCTGAGGAGTGCTAAGGCTGCCATGTCTTCTTGTCGCAAATCCGAGAGGCACAGAACCGGCGCCTTGCGATCTTACACAGGAGGCATGCCTCTTCAATCATCGCTCTCTGATGCTCCTGCATGCCCATGACCCTGCTTTTGAACAACCCTTAAGAAGGCACATGCCACTTCGCCCTCATTGCAGCTCATGGACACCCGAAGTTCCAAAAGCAGGTGCTGCCTTGGGCCCCCACCACGAACTCATGGGCCTTGGGATCTGCTGCAGTTTGCTTTAGAAGATCTCGCGCTTGCGAGACTAAGTTTTCGATGCCGCTTCCTTCGCTGATGTTGACGAGACTTGAGCTTTGACGTTCAGGACATAGGCTTGAATTCTACGCGGCCTAAATCAAACTCATGGTTGAGCCATGGCCTCTTCAGGCATTCATTGTTGGTGGCAGTTTTTTAGCTTCCCACCGGGCGGCAAGGAAGAAAACCTCAAAATCGACCCTGGCAGCCCTGTGCAATTGGGGCGAGTCTGTGGGTGTGCGGCTGAATAGGAGGCTTTCGTTTGCCTCTGAATGAACTTCCCATCCAATAACTGCAACCTGCTTGTGTCCATGCTCTTTTCGGTAGCGGTTGTGCAGTAACTCGGCGACAAAACAGGGAAAGGGAACCAATGACAGAGTGCAAGGCAGCCTCTTTTGAGGCAACTTCTTGCACTTTTGTACAGATAGATAGAGCGTGCGACAATCTGCCGGCCATTCTGTTAAAAAGAGACCTTCGTGCACGCGTTCGAAGGCAACTCGTCTCCGCAGTGTCGAAGTCGTTGTGCCGTGAGCCAGCAAGCTTTATGCCAGTCATCTGCGATAGAGCTCGAGCAACTCTAGTATCTACTATTCCCTGTCACAAAAAAATGTCAAACATCCAGTGTAACGATGCGATACTTGTCGAGGTCTAGAGAACCAAAACAACGAACAGGTTTCAACAGGCCTCTGATACGCAGATCTCGTTAACTCCAGAGCTTGCATCGCAACATCGCGCAAGCTAAATACCTAGCTGTGGTGGCCTGAACCTCCCGGTCTGCAGATGTCCATCCGCTCAACTTTTGAATGTGTTTCCCTACTCAGCTCCAAATGAGGCCGGCGACAATGGAAACTGCGCCTGGCTCTGTCCAGGGCCACACACTGAAATTGAGGGCTGACACAAAACCACAACCCATTACACAAGACTTTGCTCTCATCGGCAGTACTGACACATCACAGGCCCCCGAACATCGATTATCTTGATTTCGTAGCATCGATATCTTTGGTGCACGCGGTCCAGTTCGTCGTAGCTTCTCCGGCACGCGCTAAACCACATGACAAGGCAACAGCGGCGGTTAGAAACTCATGGGAACTTCTGCCGTTCACGGACAGAGACCAGCAGTACTGGGACCCATTCACGGCCGAGTTCGAAAGACGCAAAAGACTGGAGACTGAACGGACGGAAATGACGACGACAAGACCACCCTTGCTTTGTAAATCATTACAAAACATGGCACAATCACAAGTCTAAGCTCGCTTCTATAGTCACGCCGACTATTGCACACTGCCGACACTGGGGCCTCGGGACAAAGACCCAAAAACAGCCCGTCATGGCAAGAAACAGCACTTCCAGCAGTAGATACAGCTGCGACAACCACCACGAAGACTCCATACACAACAAGAACAAGAACAACAGTGATGACAAGCAACAGTAAGCCACACAAAAGGCTCAAGCAACGGCAGGCCACGAAACGTTCGGCATCATGGGCAATAACAACAACGCTATGAGCAATGAGCAGCAGCATCACAGCCACCACCCCGATCACCAGCACGCCGGCAGCAGTTACTCTGACTACTGTGCGTGGCACGGGTTTTGGCGCCCGCACACTAGGGATACTAGGCTGAATATACTCATCCATGTGATGGTTCTCTTCCGGACGCAAAAACAGGATGCGCCTGCTCCAAAGGTGATGGCCGTGCTCGAGACGTCCCCCGGGGTTACGGTTGTTGTTGTTGTACTGGGCCTGTAGCCGGGTTTGGCGTTGTGGCTTTGATGGCTCAGTGCTTTGGGTTTTCCATCATCTCCAGGGCCAAGACAGGTTTCGAAGAGAGGCTTCGGCACGGGATCGTACAAGGAAGCTCAGGACCCAAACGTCAGAGCACAGTCAGAGTCTGCAGGCCGGAGGTTGTGGGGACTTTACGCCACCCTCTCGCAGACATCCTGCGAAGTGAGCCCGATGTCCTCAGAACCCCTCCATCAAGGACCTGGATCCTGAATCATGACACTTCGTTTGTATCTGGGCCCTCTGGATTCCAAAGCACCACGAAGCACAGGGGTACCAGCCAAGGGAAAGCAAAGAGAGAAGCTTTGTAGAATCGCAGGTCAGCCTAAAGAGACACCTGAGACGACATGCCTCAACAAATATCTGTGTCAACAGGTCCAAAGAGTGTACGGCATTACCGAACACGAGTCCAGACCAACCCTGGTCAAGGACAAGTCGCCCCGTCGCGATGCCTTGGCCGACACTGGCGAAGGGTGCGTTCGAAAGCCGAAGATGCTTCATGCTATGCTGCGGGGTGCAGGGAAGTTGAAGCGGCTGGTTGCTCAGTCGTTTCCATGCGCGAATGCATCTGCAGGGACATGGCGCAGTATCTCAAGATCTATGGTCGCAGGTACACCAGTCAAGGCCGTCGCTGTGATCCGCTTTGCGAGTTCTCGGCCCTTCAGGAGCGGTATTACTCTCATCGCCAACAATTTGTTATACCAAGCGGGCTCGACCTTCTTGTGATGATAATGATAACCAGGGCCAGCGTCATCATCAGTACCATCAGCAAACTCCAACAACCCTGAATAGCAGCCCCGACACCACAAAGTCTCACAGGATCACAATGCCAACAAGATACCAGCTTCTTCGCACTGCGATTTGATCATGCTGATGTTGCCCGCTTCCGCCCTGAGCTTGGCCGCAGCAGAACTGTCCGTCTTGAGGAGGTTGGTGCTTTAGGGGCTGTACTCGGGCTACAGGGATGTAGGATTGAGAGCGGGTTCAGGACCGAGGACCTCGCAGCTGCAAGTGAGGTCTGAGACGCGGGAGCTGTTGCTTGAGATCTACACAGATTCGGGGTACCCCAAGCAGCAGAAACTTCCAGCATGTGTGCTTGCAGGTGAACCTCAACTCGACAACCGATGTCAGCCTGCAAAGCTGTTGCGACCAGGAGTTCCTTCTTGGGGTTTGCGGGGTCGGCTGGTCTGGTCCAACCGGAAATGCTGAGTCCTCTGCCCAAGATCGCCATTCGATTGGACGAAGGCCGAACCTTCAGCTCTGGGGTCCAAGACAATGTCTTCACACACCAAGGTGTCTGCTAAACTCTAAACTCTCCCTGCCAGCACCCTCAACCGGGATGACTCCAGATGCAAGCGAGATACATGCCGCGTTGGTCGAAAGGCATTCTGTGGCTGAGACCATCGGGCACATCACGGTCAAGGCTTGAGGGCCCACCTGGCACATGCAACCCGCGAAGAACCCAGCCCCTTCTTCTGCGATCAGAAGGATCCCCTAGGCCTCCGTCATGTTCGTTACGTTCTCGAGCAAGGCCGCAGTCGACCCAAGGCTTGTGAAGAGGTCCATAAACCCTGGGCAAGCATCGCACAAGCAGGGCATGAACTGCTGCAGCGAGTCAATACCGATCTCTCCCGCGTCGCCATTTGTAGGTGCTGCGTTCGGGTCCACGCACTCTGTCATCATGCAAGTCATGGCTTCCGAGTGCTTGCACATCGCTGTGAACATTGCTCCCATCATGGTTGCAAGGGCATCGAATCCCGCAGTAGCATCACTAGCATTATCTCCTGCAGGTGGGTTGGTCTGCATGCCAGACATCAGGTCCGTCATCATGAAGAGCAGGCCAGGGCACTTGGTCATACATTCCTGGTCCATCCCCATCTGAAGGCGCCTCGCTTTCTTTGCCATCGCTCCCATGGGCCCCTGAAGGGTCTTCATAGCGGGTAGAAAGCTGCCACGACCGCAGGCTGACAGCAGGAAGGCGAGAAGCAGTCGCAATGAGATGAGCTGCGCCATGGCAAGAAGTCAAAAAGGGAATTGGGGAAACTTCTTGAGCCTGGGGCCTGGGGCAATTGACAGGTACTTCAGAGATCTCGGCATGGCCACAAGTCTGTGGAACTGTGAGGCCTCAGCGATCTTTTCGTGCCGTTGCTTCGGGCTCCGCGTGGATCGGGACTTTGTCCACCACACAGATCCTGAGAAGGGCCAATCCAAGCTCCCGCTGGCCTTCCAGCAGCGCTCTGTCCGAAGGGTCAGGCCCTTAAGGCCTGCAGAGGCACCGCCAGGGCTGGAAGCTTTTCAGCCGAAAGTCGCAAAAAGCCGAAGCGCGCGCGCGCGCGCGTGAACCCATCCTCTGCTCGCGCAGCCCAGGCTTCGAACTTCGGGCCTGGACCCTGGGGGCTCAGGGGCTCAGGATTACGCCTTCACCGGATTCTAGCTCTGCTAAAGCTGCTAAAGTCGCTCTGAAGCCTTCGAAGCTGCGGGTATCGGGAGGGCTTGGCTTTGGGCCCGAGCTGCGGCCTGGAGTCCGCACTTGCAGGAGGAGGGCCTGGACTATACATTCGGGTCGCTTAGGTCACTCCGAGGGAGCCGAGCTCGAAGCGACGGTGAACACTGCCCAAGATTCAGTGAGGAGTACGGCTGAGTACGGAGTAGTACTAGAACCCTCCAGACTCTTGGTGACGACTTACACGACACCCGGTACCAAGCGCCACTCAAGTAGAAAGGTCCACTCACTCTTGGACCTTAAAGCTTGAACCTCGGAGAGGACCTCTACTCAGTGTTGAGGCTTCGTGGCCGCTAGACTTTCCTCTCTTCAGAAGAAGGCAGCCGCACGGCGCGCAAGGGCCAGGATCGAGAGCATCCGGACGACCACGATGATGGCCAGCAGGATTCCTTGGCTTTGGATCTTCCTTGCGGGCTTCGGGCGATCATGCCTGGCGCCTCAGCCAGTCTGAATTTATGGGGTAAGAAAGAGAATTGCAGCGAAGCCACCCACGTAGACCCAGACGTGGTCTGGGTCGATACCTCACATTTCAATCACGTCGGCTTGTAACCTGGCCTCGACAAGATCCACTAGCATCAACTGCAACCAGCTGGCTGTTCCTGACCACGAACTCGGCATTGACGAATGCCTTCAGATTCCCATCCCTCTGGCCTGATGCAACAAGGGGACAGCAGCGAAAATGGGCACACCACTCAGCGGGGCAAATCACCCACGGCGCAATGCACATCAAAACGCCATACTCAGAAAGCAGTGGATCAGCAGAAACAAGAGTTACCCATTCGGCTACGAAAGGCAAGAGCCACCTCGATTGCATCTGTGCTGAAGGTATTTCCTGATACGTCCTTTTAAAGACAGGGGTTGATATTTGTCGCTTCTGTGCTTCCTCTGTCCTTCCGGCACTTAGCCATGAGTACGAAGCGAGAACCCCGGACTGGCACCCTTCAGTGCCCTTGCCCAGCAGCTTTTGTAATTAGATTCCACTCAACGACTTCTACCCTGATTCCATCGCGGACGCCTGTCGCAAGGTTGAACGTGGAGACGTCCGGCCAGCTGGATGTTGCATCCGGGCCTGAAGGGAGCGCGCTTGCCGCAAAAGAGGAACTGGGTCTCAGGCTTCGCGTTCTGACCTCTGGCTGTCACCGGATCCGTGGGGTCCGCCGCCGTGCGGTGCCGGGTTGAAGCCGGGCCCGCACAGTTTATGCGTTGTGTGCATATGCACGTGTGCATGTATGTTTGTACGTATGTATGTACGTACGTAGGTATGTACGCAGTCCCATGGCCGATTGGAGGACGGTTCTATTGTTTTTTGTCGCCCGTGGTCCTTCTGCCCCGTTTGGGTAGTCGGAATGCCTGTTAGGCTGAGGCTGCCTGGGACCTCTCTATTCGAAGGGAGTCCACCACCTAACCACACTTCCCCCGTACACACAAACCCCAGGCCCCAGAGCCTCCACATCAGCACTGCACGTTTAGGGTTTAGAACTGGAAGGCTGAAGCTATGGGACTCGACAAGACCCACAGTGCCCCCCTGTACAGAACAGACCTACTAAGAAGAGATATCTGAAAACTTTGCGAGACTTGCCATTGTCGATCATGCACCATGTACTGCTCAATTCCCTGCTTGCTGAGCTGCCTATTGAAAAAATACTTCTGCGTAATCCGTTCATACTGCATCATGCACGCACGACAGCAGCCACAGACTAAAAGGTGTGGACTAGTTTCGTGCATTACTTACCATTTCATGCTCTGCAGGTCATGCAGGTCCAAGGATGCAGCCGAACTCATTCAGGATGTTCCTTGGCAGCTTCGCAGAAGTTTCCGGAAATGACACCAGGGACACCGAAGAGGGAACACAGCGCAACATCTAGATTCCGCAGCAAAGCTTGGCACAGCCAAGCGCTACACGAAGCGCTTGAAATCAGGACTTCGGGATTGTTTCCGGTCAAGGCTTACTTTGGGGCTTCCGGGATCAGAACTCTGCCTGAAAAGGAAGCTCAACATTATCGCCTGTTGCCATCGGTCAAGGGTCAAGTTCATGCCATACTTCAGGGCGCAGAGATATGACGCCCATCTCAGCCAGGCTGGAATCTGCTCCTGAGCTTCAGTGACTCGCGGTTTCAGGATGGCCCCAAGGCCTACGAATTTGGCTGCAAGCCATGCTGGCTCGGAAGTTTAAAACCTTTCAGCATGACTGTTGCTCTGCGGTAACATGCTGGCTCGATCTCTCGGGCTTGAACCTTTTCCTCGGCTCCTTCCAATGGGACTGTGACAGGAAGGGTGGCCCAAGGCAAGTCCGAAAGTGCTCCCAGGCTCCGTTGTGATGAAGAAGCCGGCGAAGAGCAGCTGCGGCACGAAGACGGCGGGAGCGGCCTGCTGTGCCACCTGCAGGCATCCCCCAGTTCGCCAAAAAGAAACTGCTCTTGGCTAGTGACTGGTGTGCAGCTAGGAGAAGGCTTACAACCTCGAACACCAAACTTCCCGACTTCTCTCAGGCCCTCGGCCCATCGGAAATGCCTCGGCATTGGCTGCCAGGCACCCGACCAGAACAGCGGTGGAAGCCGCAGCCACACCAGTGACCCAGAAGACGAGGACGTAAACCATGAACTGCCCTGCAGGTCAGAAGAGTTGTCAAGCAACGCACTTCTTGTGCCAAAGAGAGTTCAGACATTCCCGGGGACGGGAGACCTGCAAGACGCCTCCCCCCGAAAAGCAAGAACCACCGCGAGTGATCAGCGACGTCTGAGACCTCTCGATCGGAACCCCCAACGCCATTGCTGAACTAGGGAAAGTAGAAACCAAAAACTACAAAAAGGTGTCTAAGATTGTATGCTCCTCGCAGACCCATGAGGAAGTAGGCAGCCGTCCAGGTGATGACCTCTCACAAACTTGCGCATCCTGAAGATTGACATCCTCGCCTATTTAGGTTCAGGGTTTAGGGTTGATTGCTTATTATGGTATTCAAAGCACAAGAAACACATTCAATGCTACAAGTAAACGGAGAAGTGTTCGGGTGCCGCTGCTCCTGGCACACACTTCTACTTCTTGCTGCAGGGCAGAGATGCTCAGAGCAGAACAAAATTTATGCAGGAAAGCTGCAGCATTGAGGAAGGACTGCGGAAGCTCGACCATCGTCTTCCTGTTAGAGGGAGGCTTTTTCTGTATGGCTGGAGCTCTGCATGCACCTGAAGCCTGAAAGTTCGAAAATCGCAAACCCTGCTCCCTACCCGAAATACCATAGAGGTGGCAGCCCCAGTGGCGAGAGGAAGTACGCTGCAGAACCGTAGGTTGAAGTCGCATATTCACCTCGGGTCACTCCTCTGGGGGGAATGCGGTTGACATGGAGCATCGGATTGCCGTCAGGAACGCTTACGATCATGGTCCCACTTCAGACTCACACAATCCGTCCGCGACAGTATACACGTATACAGGATGATACAGGGAAACTCTCCTTGCAAACACCAACTCCCTCCCATTGGCTGCTACACTACAGGAACAGAAACAAGCGACTTTCGAACACTTCCTGCATTCACAGGTCACACCAAGATACTATTGAAATGGAGTGCCTAAGCCCCGGAAAGACCGTCTCACTTCCACTGCGCCACGGAGGAAGATGCCGCGGTCCAAAGGGAACTTCAAAAGCAACCTGAGCAGATGCGTTGCATGGCATGGGACATGGAACTGGAGTTGAGAGACTTGAGGAGGCAGCATAGGGGCTCCGATGGGCTTTTGGATGGGGGGATGTCTGGGCAAAAGCGGGCAAATGTGTTTTTAAGAAACACCTCACAGCAAGCTGCCGTCGAGGCACGGCTGCGCGGCACCGAACATGCCTCCGATAGCCACCTGCGGGTTCACGACCAAACGGAGCTCAGATCATCCGCAGGGAACTCACTTTCCAGTTTTGGATCGGACGGAACGATGGGTGAGGTCGTCCGCTTATCTAGGTGGGTCTTGAGAAGTTTTGTTTGTGCTTCGCCCGCTACACTCCCTCCCTCTCGCGATGATGTAGCAAGAAAAAAAGGCAACAGAACGCGCGGCCCCAGACTTATTGCATTGTTCATGATATGAGTTGGGGCATAGCCGGCCTGCGTCATTCCGCCGAAGTGGGAGCGTGGGTCATAGTTGTCCAAGGTGATGTCACCCACCTGCATCGGACGAGCAAGAGCTCGTCGTTTCGGGCTCAAGATCTACGAGTCCGCGTGTATGCTGCACCACCCTATTGCTCATCCCAACACACCAGACATGTTGGGCGCCCGCAAGGTCACGACATGTCATGACAACGCGAGGCTCTCGCAAGACTCCGTGGCTCCGCTGTGCGAGATCCTGCCTGGTAGAAAATGGCGGCGAAGAAGACGTTCAGGATCACCGGGATGATGATGGAGGCGATCAACCCGGGCTTGTCTCTCCAGATGTTCTGGGCCTCTCCTGGGCAGCCGGCTGCCCCCTACAGTCTTGCTTTCGAAGAAGGATAGGGGGGTAAGGCCGTGAGGGTGCGAAGTCATGAAGGTAACGGAAGCCCGGAGGTCGTCAACTCCCCGATCTGCGGAGGTCTGCGGTGCGCAGCCCGCCGTCCGAAAGAACAACCCTTCGATGCCGGGGCTCGCTTCGAGAGGGCCAGGAGTTGCGTCAAGAACCCGGCCGTGGCACCCTCCATCGTCCTCGGGGCGCTTTTTAGGGCTTTGGGTTTCGGGGCTCAGGGTTGTATCGGCTTAGTGTGTCTTGCCGGGCGTCTTGGTCATCACGCTCTTGTCGTGCGGCACATCCGGAGTTGCCTGAGTCCGAACAACCAGACCCGCAGCCCCCTGCTGCTAAGAGCCAAGGCCCCAGCCGCAGCTGGTGTCTCCATGATCATCTTAGCCTGCGGTCACGAAGGAACGCAAGAAGTGCTGGGAAAGACGGATCTGAGGTCCAGCTTAAACCACCCCTAAACCCTGAACCAAAGTCCTGAAAAAGGCTCTCCCGCCCCAGGCGCCCGGACCCGGCCTGCATGTTATCCAACTCCTTCTCGACCTCTGTCCTAAGAAAACAAAAGAAGATCGGAGCAGAGGCCGAGGGGATCGAAATTTAGGGTTTAGGGTCGTTTGTGGTCCAGAAAGAAATCCACCTGGAAACCCCCAGAAGAGCAAGAACCTCTGAATGGATCCCAGACTCTGCAGCAGGAACATCACGTGGTCCGCAAGGTTGAACTCGTTCGGGCAGCCCTTGTTGACGGCATGCAGCTGCTCCTGTCGACCGGCCGACAGAGACAGAGACACTGCTCCAGCCGGAGATGGACAAGGCTTCGTCTCAGTGGGGTGTCGGGGGCTCATTCTGCAAGCTCTCACGGAGTGTGCGTGTGCGGGGTATATCGGGTAGTTTCCAGAGCACCCACCAACGCTTCTGCGAGGCTAGACATCCGACGGTGTCTGAAAGTCTGGTGATGATGTGGTGTGCAGAATTCGAGGAGAAGAGCACAGACCGCTGGTACCCGTGCACGCATGAAGAGAAAAGGGTTCAACTCAACCCTCTCTGGCAAAGGCAGCTTTGACCCCAAAACAACTGCCCCCCGGAACCCCATTCTCAGACCCGCACAGACAAGCCAGACACACCACCGAAGAAGAACAGCTTGCCGCTGCGCAGGAGCATGACCTGCATGGGGAAGCTCCAGAAAAAGCGAGGATGATGAGAAGCTCGTGCGAATTAAAACATGCGATCTGCAGATCGCAATGCATGCAAAACAACCAACCTTCGAATCGTGAAGCACGATTGAATGGTCCTCGTAGAGAAAATCCAGATAGGTCCCGGCACAACTTCGAACCGAAAATTCCAATCTTTGCTGAAAGTGGGATTACTTGCTCATCGTGGTCATGGAGTGCCAGGATGGTGTAGGATTTGCTGTGAAAACCCATGGCTTACTTCCAAGCTGATGTCCGATGGATGTCCGACCTTGTTGAAGAGGTGGAACACCTCTGAGGATGGCTGGTGGATCGTACAGAGCCTCGGCTTCGGTGCTGGTCCCCTGATCCCCACTCTGCTCCCGCTTTCGGATGTAGGGGTTTAGGATTTACGAAATTTCGGGTAGCCTAAGCTTTCTGGCTCTGATTAGCCGGGCCCCTGCCCTCCCGAGGCGCTGCAGCCCAGCGGCACGTTGCATCCCTCCTTGCTGGCCAGCTCCTCGTTCGGCGGAACAAAGGCGATTGTCTGGAGTACCGTGAGCATATGCTAAGTTTACACAGATGACCTGAAGTAGTGGGACCCTATTCAAAAGGCCGACCACAGTCAACATCGCGAAAAATCACTGAAACACCATGTCCGATTCCTCGAGCTTGAGGATGACGTTGTGCGCAGCATAAGAATCCTGGGCGTCTCGCAGAGTGCTCCAGTCCCATGGTCGCACATCCCAAGGACAAAACCACAAATGAAGAGTGAAGAAGCTGGCCCAGCCGGATGGTAGAATTGTCTTCTTACTTCTTACACATGAGCCGAGCGGCCAGGCCAGAGGTGGGTTCATCCAAGAAGATCAGTTTGGGCTTCATGATGAGCTCGATTCCGACGCAGGTACGCCTGGATCATGCGGGAGGCTGAGGCTTCCTTTGAGAGAAGGGTGGGAAGATAGGAAATATTTGGAGAATCTCGTTCAGGGACGGGAGAGTGGATCCTTCTAGGATTCTACAACACTCGTAGAGGCACTTCCACTGCAGATCTACTCACCCGCCATGAATATCTCAAAACCCTCCTCCTCTTCCGCTCCAACCCTGACCTAAGACCGATGGCCGAATTCCGAAACCCTCAGCCCGAGACCGTCCCTCCCGGCCAAGCCCGGGACTTCTTCTCACCTCCAGAGACCCCGCGGATCATGTCGTCGCCTGGGCTGTTGGGCTTGCGGGCTGGGTTCAAGAGCTCAGGATTCCATGGGTGGGCTTTGGTGGTCCTGGTGGTCCCTGGCTCTCTCGCTGCTTGGGATCTATGCTTGCACAATGGGGTCACGGCTGCCACGAAGCTATATGCATCGCAGGGTTGTGGGGCTGCTGGTACTTGCTCCTTCATTTGGTTCGTGGTGCTCCTCGGAAGCTTGAAAACCTTGAAACATTATCGCCAGGATCCTGGAAGCTGGACGCCTAAAGCAAGCACCCTTCAACCACGAACGGGAGGAGTGGCCGATGTAGGTGTCGGCGCACTTGACCAGGCCAAGGTCGACCAACATCTTCTCCACCAATTCCTTCGCTTGCTTCGCTTGGGCTGAGATCAGAGGATCCTAGCCCACATATTCTCTCCGGAAGCACGCGGAGCGCTGCATCGTGGCAAGTGCTAATGTTGTCTACGGCTACATTGTGTCTTTGCACGATGCATGTCAGGATCACTGCACCGGGGGTAGTACTAAAGCTTGTTGCAGGTAGTCCTCACACCTCTTGGCGACAGGGGGTAATCGGGTAATCCCCACAGTTTTGCCTATGTACGAGTAAATTGTGTGTATACATATAAACAGTTGTCATCTATTCGTTCCTCTCTATCATTCACCCTGTTGCATCTCGTCTCGGGTTGGAACGCGTGAAGCTCTCAGGCGTCCACGAAACTTCCAAAGCCCCCCGGGTCCCTCCGGCCTTCTTGTCTTTCATGCTGTAGGACTTGGGCAGCCGAAGGTTCGCTGAAAACCTTTGCCGGGGCCCAGATGGAGTCCAGGAAGGAACGATGTGTATGGGTTTAGGGTTTAGGACTTTAGGGATTAGGCGCCAACGTAGTCACTTGTGGCTCTGGCCCGGCAAGTTGCGTCCACTCAGCTAGAGGTCACTGTACTTGACAACAGATCATGGCGAGCTCAGTCATGAGCCCAGACATCGTGAATTCCAACCGATCAAAAATATCGCCGGACATCCGGGGCCAAGCAACCAAAGTGACTCCCGGACCGTCTGAGTTGGCACCAGGATGTCCTGGCAGAGGCCAAGGGTCCAAGGGACGTTCTTGGCATGTTCGCCTGGCTCCAGGCCGAAAGCTCCCAATAATAACAATAATAATAATAATCAGAATGAAGATGATGCTTCAGTCTGGATGGTGGTTCGCGGCTCTGCTTTTGGTGTTTCCTAAAGTCATGACCCTGGGCTCCTCAGTTCTCATGGTCACACACTGCTTCAAGCTTGTTGAGTTTGAGGTGCTTCGGTTTTGCTTCTGTGGTCTGGCCGTTCTGTCTCAGGAGTTGGCTCTAACCTCGGAATACGTGGGAAACCTCAGAGGCACGTTTGCCATGAACCTAGTGCGACTTCAGTACCAGTTGAATTCTCGGCAAAAGCTCTGATATGAGTTTCGGTGTTTAAGCGTGCAAGCCTGAAACTTTGGCCGAGGAATGCTTGAGCGTGCTATATGTCAAAATGCTGCGGTCTGGCCACCCACGGGACATCACCTCGGCTGAGTTACGGTGTCTTGATACTGAACTCACAAAAACAGCAGTCATGTGCTTTACACGAACTTGAATTTTGCGACTAAAAACGATTGAAAGCTGAAAAGACAAGCCCCCGTCTGAGCACCTGAAACAGACAAGCCCAGACTTCTTTGACTTTGTATAAGCCAGTCCCCGAAACAGGAAAATTAAAATGTCCCCTCTGCGCTTGTCCTGCTGCATGACGTATGCGATGCGCTTTCGGAGGGAGGACCCGGTGATGGGTTGACCATCCAGAGTAATGTTTCCTGTCACCTGAGGAGTCCGAGGAGGCATTCTGTCGGTATCTCAAGGGCAGGCATTCGTCACAACAGATGCACCAATCGAGTAACTGGGACACCGGACCTCCGTTGTTCCACGAGAGCGAATACGAGCGGCCAAGACATTCAGAAGCGACGTCTTTCCTTCAGAAAGTGCAAAGGCTCGTTTCGTGATTCGTCGTCGTGTCGGTCCATTCCCTTTACTAGAGGCTGCGATGTGCTTTAGTGCAGCTAGAAATACTGGGGGGGGTGGCGTGACCTCGTCCAAGAATGGTTGACACCTTTGGCAACACTTTTCACTTCAGCGAAGCAGGAGCACATACCGTACAGATGCGTATCTTGCGTCCATGCACAAGCTGGCCAGGTCTTGCCAAATCGTATGCTTCAAAGAATGCCAGGTTTACGTCCAGCAAACTCCCGCCAAACTCCCTGGTTGAGCCCTGAATGACCGAGTTTTGGAGCTGGTCCTGCGCCGGACGGGCCCATCAGGGCGCAAACCTTGCCACTGCTGAGCGAGCCCGAGATGTTGGACAGAATTTGCTTCTCCTTTCGGCTCGGAAGCTTGTTTTGGATGGCGTTCTCAGATTTCATCGGTCTGGGACTTGGGGCCTCTGTGCCTTGATACCTCAACTTGTCATGAAATCGCCTGGCCCCCAGGCCAGTGGCCCTGTGTCACTGTCCTGCTTCTTGCCCTTCTGCACAGTCATGGAGACATCTTGCCTCATCACGGCTATGGGCTTTCATCCGGACTTATGAGCACATTTTAGATATATCGCCTGATCTCAAACCCTTCTGCTGGCTTGGTGGGGACAGAAGCCCAGGCACCTCATCAACAATACAAAACCAACATGTTGCAAGTTGCAGTATCTAAACCTCCGTTTTGCCGAGGTGCCACGAGAAGGTTGATGCGATCTTCACCGCAGTCTCATTTCCCTTCAGAGTCGCAAGCAGCAAACGCCACGAAAGAGTAGCATGGCCGTGTTATGAACAAACCTCGAGAGATACAAGAAAGTAGGATCCCGGTGGATCCCGAAAGACGCGAGGAGGGGTTGTTCCGAAAAAATGCGGGCCTCCCTCACAAACACCGCGCCTCCACTGCCATGGCTGTAAATCTCCGTGATGCGGCACCGAAGCTCCAACAGTCTTTTCCAAATGGCTGCAGACGGTCTCGGGCTCAGGGGTGTGTGGGTGTTAGGCTTTGGGGGCTTCGAGCTCCCGTGTAACACATGCTTCACGAAGAGGAAACCGGGAAAGCCCTTCAGCCTTAAGCTGAAACAGTCGAATCCGCCACAGGAGGATCAGATCAACCCAAAGAAACCGAAACCCGGACTTCCAGAACTCCGCTCCCGGCCCGGAGCGCTGAGGCAGAGGCGAGGGACAGGCCCTGCTTCTCCGGCACGGAGTATCTGCCACTCCGTCGCTTTGAGGCTTTTTAGGGGGGAACTGGCTGGAAGCCGTGGGACCCGGTGAGAAGGATGAGTCGACTGAAAGAGAAAAGCATTCACGAGCGAACCCAGCTGGCGAGCACAGGAGTCACGGGTTATTATGAATTGACGGGAGAGGTGAAGCGGAAAAGGTTCCATTTACGACCGTGGCGAGATCCATCGCCACTACCACGATCCTGACTAATGGCTACCGCTCCGCCCGCGACTGTGCACTCAGATCGTTGCCGTTTGAAAGCCCCGCCGGACAGCTTAGGTTCAGGGCGCAGCGGTTATACATCTCGACCGGACAGCCCTAACACCAAGACAGAATTGCGGAGCACTGCTTTGAGGTAAGATCTGCGTAAATGCAAGGGCCATACGAATGAATAATGGCACTGGTCGGGGTCATGTTTTGTTCTCTGGGTGCTCCACACCCTGGTGCCCCTCCCCTGTAAAGGCCGTAAAGGCCAACAAAACCAACAAATGCGGAATCTAAGCCGCTACTTTTTGCAATATTCCGAATAAAAAACCTACCGTAGTACACGGCTTGTTGCTTCAGGGTGCTGGGCGCCTGAGAAGCTCGCAGGCATCGTTGACGCCTCACATCTTTCAGAGTCAGGTGTTTATGGTTCGAGGTTTGAGGGAGGATTCCGCAGCATCTGCCTATAACTGTTGGACTTGGTATATTCTTGTCATAGTTTGGGCGATGAAACTTCAGAACGGGTGATACAGCACGATTCTATGTGCAGCATTCCTGTTCTCTGACCGACAGGAAGGCGGAGCTACGAAGCATGTGGTCGCACCCATGCGCCGCATCGTGTCAAAGCCACATGCCTGCTACCTGAACTGACGGCTGTAGAACAAAGTAACCTAAACCCATCCAAGCACAGCATCATGAACATCCCCTCATGCCCAGCATCGTGGAAAAAGCGCCATTGCACAGCTTGAACATGCTATGAAATCTGAGGTCAAGACTGAGCGTGTCCAGCCTTAGCAAGGATTAATTAGGCCTGGGTGTCTGGTTGGGGGATGTAAGGTGCATCGATGCAAAACCGCTTGCTATGTGCGCCGCAAATCGCGTGGACCATGCTCTGCATGGAGGTGGTCGGGTGATACAGCGATACCGTCATTCCCAGGGCCTAAAAATTGGTGTTTTCCAATACAAAGGTAGCTCCTGGAACGTCTCTCGAAAACTCTTGGAGCTCCGGGGTTCCCAATTTGACGTCCTTTTCGAAAACACATGCAGCATGCGGACAGTCTTCCGAAACCCCTGTAGCTCTGGCGCCCCAAAATTCGAGCGAAGCCTTGAACTTGCTTCTTGTTTCAGAATATTCTGTGGAATCTCAGGGATTGAAATGAATTTGCGATGGCAGATGATCTTGAAAGAGGTTGGAGAAGAAATTCAGAACAGATTTGAGAGCAAATGATGAAGCTCGGAGCAGCTCAAATTGTATCAAAGCAGACTAGAGCATTCAATTTGCCACCACATGCAACAGCCTTATGACCCTCAAATTTCTCTCTAGACTCTCCAAAATCTCCCAACATCTTTAATTTAGTTCCTAGGACTCTCCAACTTCTTTCAAATTTCCCTCAACATTCTGTCAGATTTCGTAATTCCCAGAGCTCCCCAATGTCTCTCAGATTTCTCTGAAAGTTCTGTCAATGTTGTCTCCGATCGCCCTCGAACTCTAAAAGTTCTCTCAAATTTCTGTCTCTAACTTCTCTCTATTTGATCTCAAAGCCGAAACACGCAGACCACAAATGGATCACAACGAGTTCTCAAGCAGGGTCCGGGGTGCTCGCTTCTTCTGATTCAATGTTGGAGCTATTTGGAGCTTCTTGATGGCAAATCAACATTGCAGGATGAGGCGGGTAGGTGCCCAGGTCGGAAATGCTTAGCCACGAAGGACTAAACTTCCAGTTCCCTATCCTCACACGTCCATGCAGAGCGTAGGGGACTTCGGTCCGTCGCTATGTCCAACGTTCAGGGGCTGGGCAGAGCAAATCAATCCAGCCCGCAGCCTTTTTGCAGCTTTTTGCGTGCGACGTACATGTAAAGATGCTTCGGAGGCCCGTCGTCGTTTCCGTCGTATCTCCTGCTGCAAAAGGAAATCAAACAATCCGAAGGGCAGAGAGTCCAAGACGCAGGCAAGTTCAAGGCTACACCACTCGTTGTCAGGCCAAGTGAACAGGCCCCTGTTACGCAAACTTCGCCTGTTGCAGCCACACCCCCAAACCATCCCGTGCCGAGAAACTAGAGCTCGGGAGCTACAGCGATTCTTGCAAGCTTTGGAGCCATCCTTTGTGGGAGAAAGCAGAACAAGACACCTCGAATCGAGATTGCACATGTTAGAAACTGCAGGACACTCGAATAAAATTGCGACATAGAACAACAGAACCTGTATCCTGCTCCATCCAAGCAAGAAAAGCTTAGTCTTCGTGATCACAAAGAACACCGCCGCAGCCCCGTCTTAGCTCAACCCTGAGACCCCCAGCTGCTCTGCAAACCGACATCCTTTCCAGAAGCAAAAGCCAAAGGCAAACCAATTCCTGGGCCACAAACAAACCAAAGCTCTTTAGCCTAGTCCGAAATCTCAGCGGATCAGATCATTTGCAAAGCCGAAGGTCTCATTCTCGCAAACCAGTACTTGCACATCCCATCGACGGTCTTCATGCGCCGTGTGCTCCTCGGCAGATTGCACTGAAAGCTTCGTCCAGGAAGCGCCGAAACAAGCTCGCGCGTTGCACTAACCAAGCGGCAATGGCCGGCTGAGCCTCCTCTGGGGTATTGAGACTGACGCAGAGGTACACCTGAGTCTATGACGGACACTAGCCGCCGACCTCGCCCATGCTCAAGACTATCAAGAAACGCAACTTGAGCTGCGGTGAAGGCACGCCATCGCTTGACAGAATGCGGTGGATCTCAGAAGACATCTGACTTGTCGCATCCTGTCCAGCACACTTCAGAGCATCCAGCGTGCTCTTGTCAAAGACGACGTCGAAGGAGCCGTCAGGAAACAGAGAAAGCTCCCTTGCATCCTGATGAGCGGCACTCAGGGGTAAAACAAGCGCGCTGGGCTCTGCAGCCACAAGCTGTCAACGAGACACTCTTTGCTAAAATACAGTCAGCACTCCGCCAGTTCGTACTTGATACCAGGCCGTCTGGAAGTGTTTAGCTGCTTCATGGTGTCCAGAACTGCCGGCACGATGTCAACTCCAGTTATGTCCTCATACCCATCGTCATAGGCCTCCGACATGAACTCCTTTGCTCGAAGAATGGGAACTCAATCCAATTGCAGCTCGCCGTTAAACTTTACAAGAATCCATCAGGGGGGTTGTGCGTCGTTGCTGGCATCAGGGCCCCTCAAAACCTCTTTTGCCTGACTCTCCCTCGGCCTTCTCTCAAAAGCTCCACTGCCTACACCCACCGCATCTCGAGCCCGCAAGCGTTCCAAGCTCGATGCCTCAGCGGGATCAAACCTCGGGGAGCACCCTAGCCATCCCTGGCCCTGAAGCTCTTCTGTCTGGTTCTTAGTAGGGAATGGGGGAATGGGTTATGGGGACTACTATTGGGGATTATATAGGGATTGCTATAGGGATCCATTCCGCGTTCCCTAAAGAACCAGACAGATAATATAGCCCCAAACCGTATTGTAATTATGAAGGCCCTACATCAAGTACCCTTTTTTATATCCCCTATGGACCCTTTAAAGGACCCCTTAGTAGGGACGCCAAATTCGATCAGCGTGAGCATCGGAGTCTCCGCAGCCCAGGTCCAGTATCCGAGCGGCCTTGGAGGGGAAGAAGCGAAGCCACCCTGAGCGCCAGCGACTTTTTAGGGGTTAGTACTATTTTGGGGGTTCCTTCTTTTAAATAGGATCTTTTAGGTTTAGTATATCGGGCCCCAAAACCTTATTCTAAGTATAAAGGCCCCTGTTTAGGGTTTAAGGTCTGGGGCTTCCGACTCGCAAACTTGTCCTCGAGGCTTGGGCTGTGCAGCGAGATTCATTGCCCTACCAAAACCTAATCCCGAAGGTGCCTTGCGCGACAAAGTGCGAATAGGAGACCAGCCACTCCTGGAGCCATCCCCGACTTCTTCTTGTTCTTCGTCTACTTCTCTACTTCTCTTATACTTCTGCTTATACATCTGCATCTGTATCTACTGCGACATCTGCATCATCCGCTACTGCTACTGCTCCTGCTCGTACCTCCATTTGGTATTCTGTCTGTCTTTCCCCATGCTCAACAGTTCCAAGTAACACGAGTTCACGACACCTATTTGATACTGCAAACACCTTGCCATAGGGGTAAACCCTGCTACAAGTTTGCTCCCGCCCCGCTGCCGTGCCGGGGTGTTCCACGGCGGACTGCTCTGTACGGCAGTCACACGTGTGCAGCTCCAGGGTGTCTACGGTTTCACTGAGCACCACCACCCCTTACGAAGCAACTGGGTCAACATGTGCATTCTAAACACAGGTGCTGCACCTTCTGTGGGTCGGTTTTGTGCTCCAGTGTGGAGGTCCTACTCCGATTGCCCCGCTCTGAACAGGAAACACACAAGCTAAAAGACGTATTCTGTCTCTCTCTCACTCTCTCTCCTGCTTGCACGCGGACAAAGGAAGAGCGGGCAGCCCCTCCCTCACGCTCGAGAGCGCACCGGCCTTCTCTCTCTCTCTCTCTCTCTCTCTTGCCTTGCACACAGCCAAAGCACAGCACGAGACTGTGCCCGCGCGTGTCCGCGCACTGGTTGGTCCATTGCCAGGGCGAGACCCTCTGTGTTCGATGAGGTCCCGTTCTGCACCGGCAACAACCCCCCTTTCTTTCGCCAGGCTTGAGCGGCGAACCCCCCGCTGGGGGCAGCCCGTTGTTGGCTGGACGCACTGTATTAAGTGCGAAAGGCTAGGCTACGGGCGTTGGCACCCCGACTGCAGGAACTGTTGGTTACATTATCTTAGTACAGGCTGGCTAGGTAAGTTCACTTGTGGCATTTCACGCCCCGCGAGCGACCACTGGGCAATGTTTGCCCCTGTACTGCCGTGCTGGGCGACGTGGGCTCGAGTTGGACTAGCTGCTACCACAACTCAGGCTTGTTTCGACACTGCACAACAAGGGCTAAATACAAAACTCACGACTCCTAAGAACTCTCATAGCTGCTGTAGCCTGCAAGTGTAGGGTTGTGTTGCCTCGCTGCTGCCTTGCTTAACACTGGAAACAACAGCCATGACGTTGAAACACAACACCTCAGACTTTGCAGCACCACAGTACGGCAAGTGCAGCGGGCTGGGATTACGGCATTGTGGCCCCACTGCCGCCCCGGAAGGAACCAACAGCTGTCTCAGGACGTTGCAGTATCACAGTACGGGCTGTCGCAATCCCCCTCTTCGCTTCGCTTCGCTTCGCAAGGGTCAGGCTCCAGAAGCCCGCGCCAAGGTGCCCCCTTTCCCCCCTTTGAGGTGGAAGGGGCTTTGGGGCTGTAGCGCACGGGGTTGTTCCCCGAGGTCGGTTAGGCTGCCCCCTCTCTCTCTCTCCCCCTCTACTTCTACTGCTACTGCTGCTGCTTCTGTCGCAGCAGCAGCAGCAGCAACAACAACAACAGCAACCACAAGGACGACGACGACAACGTCGCAACGGAAAAGAGCAGTCCTTGGGTGCCATCTCGCGCCCTCGCTGCTGTGTGTAAACCTCGGCTGTCGTTTGGGTTCGAGGCCCTGGGACTTCAAGCACCCGGATCCCAAAGACCAACCACCGAACTACGGCTCGACGGCATGAAGGAAAGAGCCAAGCCCCCATCTCCAAAAGCTCACAACTCGTGGCACATACATGCTCCCAAAATGTAACCGAACAACTTCAGTTCTGCCCTGTGCATGCGGTGTGCCAGAGTCGTCTTTGAGGCAAAACAGCTCCAATCGGATGGTCTGTTGCGGCTGGTCGGTGACAGTCTGTGAGTTGAGTTGGGGTTGGTGCTGGGACTACTGCTGCGATAGGTAGACTTGGTGCGTTGGATTCTGCGGACGTGCTGAAGTTCGTAAGCTGGGCTGCACCCAAAGGGAAAACTTAAAAGCCATGCTTAATCTTAATCGAGGTGAAAGAGAGCCCGGACTAGCGACATCTAGGCATCTAGGTCCTAGGCTTTCTACGCCAAACGTCCGCACAAAGTGGAAACAAGGAGAACGACCATCAGGACAGCGAATCAATGATAGTGCTATGGCCACAGAGGACCCAAGCGAGGACAACAAGAAAACCAGCGGCCATCGAGCCTCGGTCCAGAAGTGCACATCGCCGTAGTTCGGCAAACCATCGGCATGTCCCTGGTCCTGATGCTCAGCTATGCCATGATTTTCAGACTGAGGCAGCCTGGCGAAACATGCAGTTTGGACGAAGCCTGAAAGGAGAAAGAAACAAAGACATCCCAGCTACCACAGCTGAGCTTCGACGCCCTCCTCCGCATCGCTGCCCTGCTCGGATTCGCTTTCCGGGGGCAGCCAGCCCGCGTCGACGTAGCTCATGGCCGAGGGGCGGCCCGGCGCAAGGCATGGGAAGTCCGAACGGAAGTCTCAGCCTCCAAGAGGAGCAGCTGTTGGGATGGGCTGGGCTTGAAGGAAGGGGGGCTCATGGCGAGAATGCAGGGGCTGCGACTCGAGCCAAGACCGACTCTACCGGAACCAGGAGGCCGGCGTCCACAAGAGCCTGCTGTTGCATGCGAAGCAGTCTATGAGGCGGGCATGAGAGCTTCTCGCACATGGAAACTTCGGAGAACGCCGACCTGCCGGAACAGGACAGGACACAAACCAAGAAGGCGGTATGCAAGACCTGATCAGGTTCAATGCCTCAACCTGCAACATGAGTTGCTCGTCATGGTCCCTGTTGTGGCCAACATGGTCGAGCTAGCAGCAGGAGCAGCAGCAATCGCAGACCAAATTAGCCTTCTTTGCAGCAGCTGCACAGGGAGCACGAGGCGGGGAAAAGGAGCAGCAGCAGAAGGCTTCTCTCACCGAATGATACAGACACTGTTTGCCACAGAGTTTGTTGAACCCCTTCAACAGTGCCCTCACAAGCTCCCAGGCTTACAGACCGGAACTCAAAAGCTCAGAGGTAGAAGCCCCGCACCGGCTCGTAACGCATCACAGGGATTGGGCTCCGTGTGAGCGCCGGGCCTCGTTGAGTGCATGGGCGCCAGTGATCATGGCCACCGTCTCTCGCTTCTCGCTGAGGCTGGGCTGGCCTCTGGAGAAACGGCGTGACTCTGCCTGTCTCAAACTTGTAGAACCGATATCAGGGATCTAGCAAAACCCTCCCGTAGCCAAGTCTGCTTCCAGCGTAGCCTAGCTACTTCGGAATCCTCACCCACAACCCAAACCTGCCCGACACTTTCATACAACCTTTATGACAACCCTGGCATACTGCCAGTCCCAGACTCGAACAGCCCACATTTGAAGCAACGCAGCTCACGCAAGAATGAGCTCCTCGAACCTACAGTCGACACCTGACCAAAAACCCTGAACCCCACACCCTGTCTTTCGAGTCTCCCACCATCCTCAGCCGGCGAGGGCCTCAAGAGACTTTCAAGGGCGGAGAGAAAGACGAGGTGGTCTGGGGATAAGAGCTCGTTCAGTTCTCACTCCCATATCCCAAGTGACTTGCATGCAAAACAATCAAGGACCCCTACGCACTGAACCGGGAGGCCCCATGGCCCATGGCTCTAAACCTGGCACTGTGTCCCGCACGTTTGTCTTTGCTGAACCCCGAAACAAAGGCATTCTGCGCCGTACGCCGCAACTCCCACCCCAAGTGGCCAACTCGTACCATTGTGCTGCTGCTGTGGCTGATGTCACGGTTTGTTGCTGCTAAAACCATTTGCCAACAGTCCCTGCTACTCTTGTTTCTGCAAGGCGGCCCTACTGTCGTCACTAGCAAGACTGCTAGTGCCATCTCGTACCAGTACTAAAACAAGGCGACACTTGGTGGCTGCAAAGAGCAGGAGCAGTGGCAGCAGCAGTAGGAGGAGGAGGAGGAGGCCGAGCGGCAGCGGCAGCAGCAGCAGCAGTAGTAGCAGCAGCAGTGGTACCGTAGCAGCAGTAGCAGCAGACTCGTCGTTCGTAGCAATTATAGGAGAAGCACTCACCTCCTTGACATGTAGTATATATATATATATATTTGTATTTATATATATATATATGTATATACAGAAACATATATATGTGTGTGTATGGCTTGTGTATACAATTTCTACTACGGCAACTATGATAGCTATTTCTAGTTGTAGTACTGGGCGAAGCACCAACGGCAGCAGCACCAGTGTTATTAGCAGAATCTGCAGGAATACTCGTCGCAATAATCGTTCAGTATTCAGAATGTCCTGATCGCTGGTTGACATACCAACATCATCACGACCTTGACGACATCACCTCGTTGGGATACTAGCCCGCCCTGGTTCATTACTAGCCAAGTTCTGGATGGCAGCTGAGAGTCTTTGACTTGATGAGGTTTGGCTGGACATTGGAAGCCTCGTGCTTCTCGGGACAAGGCTTGCTGAGTGCTCGAATGTTGCTAGGATGTTCACAGCTTGGATAAGGGATCTACGGGGCAAGCGCCCTTGTTTGTTCAAAGCATTGTGCGTGCACTCGTGGCATCAGTTGTGCGCGGCTTGTGTGTTCGAATGAAGTCATCCTCCGGACATGGAATCCAACTCACTAACGAAACAAAGAGCTTCCCATATCAACCGGGATGGCTTCTCGGTCGTGATGAGCTCGCCGCTGCTACCGGAGCTACGAAGAAGAGCTGAAAGTGCCAAGTCGCGGTGACCAGCCGATTTCGAATCTCCGTGGTCAGCTCCGCCCTCGCAGAGCTGAGGCACACGAGCACGACGAGCACCCGGGTTTGTGGCCCCTTGCTGTTTCCAATGCAACGTTTTGGACAGTCCACATGGGGCCAGCCGAGAAAGCTTCATCTTCAAAGTCGCAATGCTTGCGGAAGTGGAAGCGCCACTCATGCATACTAGCGACAACAACCATGTTAGTGAATCGCTATCATGCTCTCGCTTTTCCTATCTTCGAAGCCTTAATCACCATCATCTAGGTGCGAGTACTGCTAGTATTGGTGTGTTGGGGTCATGAGCAGGGTAACTATACTTATAATCCATATTAGGGAGGTGGGCTTTCTACACTTGGCTTAGATAATCCAATTTTTTGAAGCTTCACCCCCCCCCCCCCCTTCTCCCTCCCTCTTCTCCCTCCCTCTTCCCCTGCACCTCGGCAAGCTCAAGGCCTCGCTGGCCCGGCGAGCAGAGAGCAACTGCTGCAGGTCCTTGGTTTTGTTTTTTGATAAGCCCTCATGCCTTTTGAAAACCCTCATGCCTTTTGGGTTAAGGTCTGGGGTTTAAGCTTTGTTGTGGTTTCAGCCCCTTCTTTTCCGGCTAACACCCCTGGCATTGGAGGGTTCAGCTCCTTAGCGTTTAGGGTTTAGGCGCCACGCTGGGATGCATTGGGGCTGTGGGGCTTTGTAGACTGAATCGCGATCTTTTCATTCAGACATGCGGAACAACAGGTATGTGTGCACCCCAGACAACCTCCTCTCTTTGCAAAGTTAGAAGGTATCGAATTTGGTGTCTTTACCTCTACTTTAAAGGCTTAGTCAGGTACGCTTGTTTCTTTGTGTGGGTGTCATTTTGTCCTGGTCACATTCATGGTGCTCAATGTACTTTCGGCTCGTCTCATCCATGTCTGTTGATTCTCTTGTGCAATCTACGGTTAGGGATCATGTCGTGTTTTACTTGCTTTTGGTCTGGACTACAGGCCGCACAAGCGATGATCGTGCCTTTACTGTTCTTCGCACGGGCACCTCCTTCGCCACAACTTCATGCACATTCTCGTGCGAAATAAAGTTTTGCATAGCCGAGGCCGTTCCTGTTGGGAAACACGTTGAACTCCACTGCTTTCTAAACCTGTGCGCTGGGGCTTGCACGAGACTTTTCGGAGCCAGCCCCAGTCGCTTTAGGGCCTGCCAGCAACAACTTCCGTCTCCATTTCTCCAAGCCCAACCCCCGCCCCCCTATCGCACATCGGCCCTTCCGACGACATTCACATGAACTCGGATCAGCAAACAAAGTCTGTCGAAAAACTTATGGCAGCGCTCGTCTTTGAAGAGCGCATCAAAAGTCCCGAGGCTCAACCTGATTTCAAGGACCCTGCGCCTGTTCCGCGAAGTCTCTGACCGGCCCCTCCTGCCAAGTTGGTGCTTGGTCTCCCCCGACAAATCTGCAAGCTCAAATCTACTTGGGCGTCGGGCGAAAGCTTCCGGGTCAGTCGGGTGCTTGCACTTGGGCTCCGGCAGGAGGACACATTAGAATACGACTACGACTCAAACGACTACTTCCACTGCCACTGCCACTGCCACTGCCACTGCTGCTGTTACTGCAACTACCACCACCACTACCACCACCACCACGACAACCAGAACCGCAACCGCAACGAGCACTGTCAGGCACCAGTTGCAGCAGGAGCAGCTTGGACAATCATATCACGAAGATCCATGACCAGAATTACAAGAAGAATCCACCGACCTCGACAACAACGTGGCGACACGAGTGCAAGCCTTGCGCGCTTCCAGCACCATGGCGTCCGAAGCTGCCATGGCCTCCAGGCATTGCACCAAGTCCTGCGCCCGACATAGCCAAAACGATTTGTCGAAAAGCATGGCTACTTCCTCGAGCTCTCACTTTTGGGCTTAAGTTTTAGCATCACCATTAGGGCAGAAGCCGATTCGGGAAAGGCTGGCGGAATCTCTTTGGGCTCAGACTTTCTGGCGCAATTTGAAAAAATGCAGGATTACTGTTGGGTTTCGGCCACTGCCTGCTTATGAAGAGTCTCAGAATGTCAAGGGCTAGATGCAGGAAACAAAAGACAGGTGCCGACAGCCTCCTTTAGGATCCAGGGCTGGAGGGTTCTGTTTTGGGATTGCACTTGACGAAAACGACAGATGCTAAAACAAACCACAAAACTTTCAGAGTCTGTCACTGCTCGCCTTGGGCTTTAGCTGGCTCGCTAGGCCCTGGTCGCGGTGCGCACCGTCGACCTCAGAGTGCAAAAGTTTGCTTGCCTACGGATCGGAAGGATTGCACAGTCATCTCACGGAAGGTGCTGTCGTGTAGGAATCACACGGAAGACCTGGATTCGTACTAAAGGGGTTTAAAGGGCCGGCAGCGCTGAAAAAATTGAAGGACCATCTCCGTGCGGCGCGCAACAGTGACAAGCACAAGTGATACTTTGTTTCAACACTTTGGTCTGAGTGCGCGGATGCCAAATCAACCAAACCTCCCCGCATCCTAAAGCTCTGAAACCGCTGCCTCCCAAACTTGAAACACTCTCCCAGTACCTCCAACCCCAACTAGCTGTCAATGTCCGTCGGAATTGCAAAGATCCTGCACCATCATTCGGAACTTGGCATCCACTGGGGAATGCTCCCAACGCTCTCAACATGCTCATTAGCTCCATGGCTATGGGACCTTAGA